AAGTAGAAAAATTAGCTGGGCATGGTGGTGCACGCCTGTAGTCCCAGCTAGTCTGGAGGCTGAGATGGGAGGACCACTTGAGCCCTGGAGGCTGAGGCTGCAGTGAGCTGTGATCGCACCACTGCACCCGGCCTGGGTGACAGAGCAAGATGTTGTCTCAAAAAAAAATTTTTTTTTAAATAAAAAATGAGCTTTATCCAGAGCTGAAAATTTTTTGGAGAAGTTTGACAAAGTATACAACGTAAATTCAGATTTACCTCAGTGCTAAGAATTATGTTAGGGAAAAGGAAACTCATTTTGATCTCAGGTAGAAAAATAGATTGTTTTGAGTTTTATGTAGCTTTAGACTTTAAAAAGTTAGAATTTATTCTGTGTCACTAAAAATGACTTGAAAAAAAATTTTTTTTAAATGAGCTTTATCACAGCAGTGGAAAGACGGAAGACAATTCCAAAACGTTTAACCCAGTGCTTTTCTGATGTTCCAGGAGTGGATTAGAACAAGACGACATGAGAATTTTATACAAATACCTCACCACCTCCCTTTTTCCAAGGCACATGGAGCCTGAGGTACGATGGGGACCGTAGCTGCGCACACTTACATCCAGGGGCACAGAGAGGGCGGGTGGAGTGCGATGGTGGTGTGTGAGAGCGTTTCTGATCATTGCTGATGTATATTTTGTCTTAGTGTGATATTTATGTCGTTGTGTATCAGTTAGCACAGAAAACCACATGCAGCTCTCCAGTGTGTGACATTCAGATGTGATACAGAAAGCATCTTTTTGTGTGGGTGCGTTGGTTTTTTGTGTGTTTTTGGTTTTTTTTTGAGACGGAGTCTCAAACTTTTGCCCGGGATGGAGAGGTTCAAGCGACTCTCCTTGCCTCGGCCTCACAAGTAGCTGGGATTTACAGGCGCCCGCCAACACGCCCAGCTAATTTTTTTGTATTTTTAGTAGAGACGGGTTTCACTATGTTGGCCAGGCTGGTCTTGAACTCCTGACCTCTTGGTCTGCCCACCTTGGCCTCCCAAAGTGCTGGGATTACAGGCATTAGCCACCACCCCCAGTCCAGAAAGCATGTTTTTAAGAGGAGTGAGTCATTGAGTAGAGGAAAAATTGGATTTTATTTTACTTTTAATTTATATATTTTATTTATTTATTGAGACAGAGTTTTGTTCTTGTCGCCCAGGCTGGAGTGCAATGATGCAATCTCCGCTCACTGCAACTCCACCTCCTGGATTCAAACAATTCTCCTGCCTTAGGCTCCCAAGTAGCTGAGATTACAGGTGTCTGCCACCATGCCCAGCTAATTTTTGTATTTTTAGTAGAGATGGGGTTCCACCATGTTGGCCCAGGCACCTGGTCCTCGAACTCCCTGATCTCCAGGTGAATTGACCTGCCTCAGCCTCCCAAAGTGCTGTGATTACAGGTGGGTGTCCACTCTGGCCCGAAAATTGCCGTTTTAAGTTTTAATCAGGTTTAGATACAGGTAGTTAAAATGCCAGTGATCTTTAAAACAGTCGACCTGTGCTCGTCTTCTATCAACATGGAACCTAATTTTTCAGTAGATGTTTAGTGCCGACCTGGCTTTCCACTCTAGTTACTGAATTTCCCGCGGTTTTCCCAGGAGAACTTGTAAATGATATCACTGTGTTCTCCCGAAAGTATTTTCAAGGCTTAACACACAAAAATCATTGGGCTCAGCTGAACTCTCTGTCTCCGCTTGTTCGTTCCCTCCCTCTTGTCCTCCCTCTCTCCAATGTTTTTTTTTTTTTTTTAGAGACAAGGTCTCTCTGTGTTGACTTAGCTGGTCTCAAACTCCTGGGCTCAAGCGTCCTTCCACCTCAGCCTCCCAGGTAGCTGAGATACAGGTGGTATGCCACCACCTGGCTATGTTTTTTTGTAGAGATGGATCTTGCCATATTGCCCAGGCTGGTCTCAAAAACCCCTGGCTCAAGTAATCTGCCTGCCTCGGCCTCCCAAAGTGCTAGGATTGATAGGCGTGAGCCACCTCACCTGGCCCAAAATTGAAAACCTAGCCGGTGGTCACACATGCCTGTATCTTGAGGCTGAGGTGGGAGGATTGCTTGAGCTCAGGAGTTCAAGGCTACAGTGATCATTATCATGCCGCACTGCATTCCCAGCCTGGGCAACAGAACAAGATCCTGTCTCTAAAAGAAAAAGACAAATAGTATGGAACCAACTAGTAGATAATGAATGCTGTTTTTCAAAGCTTGGAAAATAAATAAAAAGTCTGATAAGTCATTCTCAACATTAAATTTATTTGCAGTTAGCAGGAAGGGATTCTCCAATTAGAGCAGAAATGCCAGGAAATCTTCAGCACTATGGAAGGTAGGACTTCTGTTCTTTGATTTAAGATACTGGGTTTTCTTTCTTCCTTTTCCTTTCTTGTTTTCTTGACTCAGAGTCTGGCTGTGTTACCCAGCCTGGAGTGCAGTGGCAAGATCTCGGCTCACTGCAACCTCTGCCTCCCAGGCTGAAGCGATTCTCATGCCTCAGCCTCCCCAATAGCTGGAACTACAGGCACAAGCCACTATGCCTGGCTAATTCATTTTGTGTTTTTAGTAGAGACATGGTTTCATCATGTTGGCCTGGCTGGTCTTGAACTCCTGACTTCAAGTGATCTACCTACCTTGGCCTCCCAAAGTGCTGGGATTACAGGTGTGAGCTACCATGCCTGGCCTATTATCTTTTTGGTAAAGATAATATGGACATTGAAATATCTTTGTGCCATCTGATTGACAGTAATCAACAAAGGAAAGTTTATGTTTCCAATGAGTTAAAACTTACTTTAGCATACCCTGCCGTTTTTTTTTTTTTTTTTTTTTTTTTGAGATGGAGTGTCTGTCGCCCAGGCTGGAGTGTGGAATGCAGTGGCACGACCTCAGCTCACTACAGCCTCCGCCTCCCGGGTTCAAGCAATTCCCCTGCCTCAGCCTCTCAAGTGGCTGGGATTGCAGGTGCCCACCACCACGCCGAGCTAATTTTTGTATTTTTAGTAGAGACGAGGTTTTGCCATGTTGGCCAGGCTGCTCTTGAACTCCTGACTTCAGGTGATCCACCCACCTCGGCCTCGCAAAGTGCTGGGGTTATAGGCGTGAGCCACCATGCCCGGCTAGCATATTCTGATATGATGTTATCCAAATAGCACCTGGCATCGAAAGCAACTGGTGAATATTAAGCAGGGATGTGTTCTGTTTCTAGATTCCTGATTCTAATTCACCTCATTGAATCACGCCATGTCTGTTCTTGCTTTTAAGATTTCTTACCGGACCCTTGAACCTTAATGATCCAGATGCAAAATGCAGATTCCCCAAAATTTTTGTAAATACACATGACGCTTATGAAGAGCTCCATTTAATTGTTTATAAGGTAACAACTTTTTTCCCTCCAGCGTTACTGATTAATACTGAAGTCGATCTTTCTTGCATGTGTACACGAGTGCGTATGCAAACCTCTTAAATGTTTCTTGGAAAAGATGTTGGAAGTTCTGATTATGGTAAAACTCAAAATGGGTGTTCTTCTAGAGTAATAAGTTTATTTTCAGCTCCTTTTAAACAGTTTTGTTATTAGTGAAAGAGGAACTGTTTAAGATGGTGATTCATAAACGTGTGAAGTCCCACGTGCTCTGAAACCAAAGGCTGTCAGAGGTTGGTGCTCCCTGTTCTCGAAATGGCTCTAGATGGGGGCCGTGGCCACGTGTCTGTGCATGTTGCTTTTGCTCTGATTTTAAGGCTATGGGCTTGCTAATTCCATAAGGATCGTATTTGTTTCTGTCAGGACATCATCTTGTAAGGATATGTACTCAGGTTGTGTTTCTAATTAAAGGCAGTTTTTGGTTCAAGAAAGAAGACGAGCATGTGTATGTGCTTCTCTTCTTTCCTGCCTGAGGCTGCGGAGAAGTTTTCATTCATAAAGGCTCAGAAATGATGCTGTTGGGGAACAGGAAGGAGCGGGGTGTGTCAGGATGAGGGAGTCCTGCGGTCTCTGGAAGGTAGACGTGACTTGTCAGCCCACGCCTGATGGAGGGCGGTGCCGGAACAGGCCTGGAATACGAGTGGCAACCCTGTGCTAAGGCAAAGGACCCACAGCCCTGCTAAGCCCAGAGAAGCTCCTGACTTGGAGGAGGGGGTCACCTGAGTTGTCAGAGTGGGGACTGGGCCCGGAAAGGTGGGGAAGTGAAGTGAAGTGTGGCAGAGAGGCCAGTCAGCCTCCCTTCCCCCATCCTTACACAGATAGGCCCGGCTGAGCATCCATCCCTGGGGTGACAAGTGAGGGTCCTGTTTAAAAGAAGGAAACAGTCTGAAGAGACCGAGTGGCTAACGTGGATGTCTGCCCCTGAGAATGAGGCCCTGCTCATTCTGGCATTTCTGTCTCCCAGAGGAACTGACACCTTCATCCTAGTCTGAGTGAAGCCTGGTGGGCCTTCTCGTTCCCTCATTGTTAAATATGGCTGCAAAAACAAAATAAGAGGTCTCAAAGAAACAAATCTATTCCGAGGACAGACAAGAACTTTAAAAAATTAGTATCCACTAATTAGAAGAGTGTATCTATTAATAAAAAATTGAAATGGCCAGGTGCAGTCCCAGCACTTTGGGAGGCCAAGGTGGGAGGATCACTTGAGGCCAGGAGTTGGGGAGGCCAGCCTGGGCCAACATAGTAAGACCCTGTGTCGAAGAAAAATGTTTAAAAATTAGCCAGGCATGGTGGTGCTCGTCTGTCTCACGCTGCTCAGGAGGCTGAGGCAGGAGAACCACTTGAGCCCAAGAGTTGGAGGCTGCAGTGAGCTATGATACACCACTGCATTCTAGCCTGAGTGTGACAGAGTGAAACCCTGTCTCAAAAATAATGAAACTGGCATCAACAGTTTCATATCTAGCACCAGACATTATGTGACAGTGGAAGAGAGATTTTCAGAGTTCTGGGAGAAAATGAATTTGAGCATAGAGTTCTTTGCCACGCCAAGCTGTCAACCACAGATGAGACAAAAGGAAGACATTATCCCGGGCACGGTGGCTCACGTCTGTAATCCCAACACTTTGGGAGGCCGAGGTGGGCTGATCACCTGAGGTCTGGAGTTCGAGACCAGCCTGGCCAACATGGGGAAACCCTGTCTCTACTAAAAATACAAAAAATTAGCCGGGCATGGTGGCACACGCCTGTAATCCCAGCTACTCTGGAGGCTGAGGCAGGAGAATCACTTGTACCCGGGAGGTGGAGGTTGCAGTGAGCTGAGATTACGCCACTGCACTCTAGTCTGGGCAACAGAGCAGGACTCTGTCTCAAAAAAAAAAAAAAGAAAGTTAAATATGAAAAGCCTCAAAAAGTTTACCCTCATGCACCCTTCCTCAGGGTGTCACACAGGGTCATCCGTCAGCAGAATAAGTGAACAAACCAGGAAAGAACAGTTGGGAATCCAGAGCAGTAGTTCTCACGCATGAGACAGTACAAGGAAATCTTGGGGTGATCAGGCTCTTAAGGTCTGCTGGCAACACCCCAACCCCAGCACCTCTGTGACCGAGCAGGAGGAGGGAGGGCTCCAGGGTTCAAGCCGCCAAAATAAAAAGATGTTTCGTTCATCACGTGGCGTGCTTGAGAGAGTCAAAGTTGGGCTGTGACAGAGGCAGGGAAGGGGAGATTCCGGGAAGAGCCTACAGAAAGATGTGGTCGAAAAAGCAAACCAAAATGTTGGAGGTGTAATTTAGAGCAGGAATTGGAGTAGGAAGAATGTCCATTTGTGGATCAGGCGAAAATTCGAGACCCCATCTCAAGAAAAAAATCATTCCCCTTTGAATGACCCAGGTAATGACTCTGAAATCTCCATAAGCCTGGTGTAATATGCTGTTGATTGCATTTCTGCTTTTAGAGTCAATCTATAGACATAATTTGGGGCGTGATAATGGGATTGTCGCTGTGTTAAAGGGTCCTTAACCTTTTTCTTAATGACTTTGAGATACAATGCACGTACCGTAAAACTCACCCTTGTACACTTAAAATGTACAATTTAGTGATTTCTAGTTGCAAAGTTCATGAGTCTCCAAGACCATCCTCACTTCTGACACCAGCTGCAAGTTTGGGAGTCCCCATGACCACCTTTAGGGTAAGAGTTCACTAGAAGTACTACAGGACTCAGAAAAGGCTTTCTACAGCAGTACGCCCGAGGCAAAGGTCATGTGTTCCAGAACCCCCAGGGGGTGCCTGAAACCAGGGACAGTACCAAACCCTTCACATACTGTGTTTTTCCTGTACATACATGCCTGTGATAATGTTTAATTTATACATTCAGTACAGTAAGAGATTAATAGCAATAATAAGGCCGGGCACAGTGGCTCACACCTGTAATCCCAGCACTTGAGGCCAGGCAGGTGATCACTTGAGGCCAGGAACTTGAGGCCCAGCATGGTGAAACCCTGCCTCTACTACAAATATAAAAACTCAGCCAGGCATGATGGCATGCACATGTAATCGAGTTACTCAGGAGGCTGAGTCAGGAGAATCGCTTGAACCTGGGGGCGGAGGTTGCAGTGAGCCAAGATAGTGCCATTGTACTCCAGCCTGGACAACAGAGTGAGACCCCATCTCACAAAAAGTGATAGTAATCATGATTGGACAATAACAATACACTGCAAATAAAAGTAATGAGAATGTGGTTTGCTTCCCCCTTACCACAGTATTTTATTACACTGCTCCCTCAACGACCGAAACCATGGGAAGCAAAACCAGGGATAAGGAAAATGTACGCACAGCTGTGGTTATTACGGTGAAAGAAGAATACAGGTTAAAATCAGCCCGGGGAAGAGGCACATGGGCAGGGCCCAGGAGCCACCAATGGAAGGACTCCATTTGCTTTAGGTTTGTTTGGTTTTTTGGGTTTCTGGGTTTTGGTTTTTGGTTTTTGTTTTTGAGATGGAGTCCCGCTCCGGTGTGAGCTTCTGGCTGTCCTCTCCCGGCTGGGGTCATGGCGGACAGCACAGTGCCTGTTTCCCCATCGAGGGATGTATGGCAGTCTCTATGGAGTGCTGCCATCCAGGGGAAGCTCACCTGAGCCTCGAGATCCAGAGTTTTTACTGGGGATTGGCCACAGAGACACAGCTGGCCCCGTGTGGCCGGCCTTAGTCTCCAGCCCTCCAGAGGTGGAGCGGGTGCTGTACGGGTTGGGCTGAAGGGATATTGGCCTGTAGTTTTGTTTTCTTGTGATATCTTTGGGCAATGCTGGCCCGATAGAATGTGTTGGGAAGTGTTCCCTCCTATTTTTTTGGAAGACAGTGAAGCACTGGTGTTAATTCCTCTTTACATGTTTCATAGAATTCACAGTCAAGCTCTCTGCATCTGGGCTTTTCTTTGTGGGAAGTTTTGAAAGGAATTAACTGTGCGTAGCGTTCCATTATTGGAACACTAAGGCTTGGGGAGTTTATTTATATCCTGCTCGAAGGTCCATCCGCCCTAAAAGGTCTCATTTTTCACAGAAAAGATTTACAACCTCCAGCATAAATGGGTTAATCTCTTTACTTGTTAGAGGTTTATTTTGATTTTGTTTCTTCTTGAGTCAGCTTTGGTAGTTTGTGTCTTTCTAGGAATTTGTCCGCTTCAGTTTGATTTGATTTGTCGGCACGTGGGTTTTCATGGTATTATAGGTAAAGCCGGATACGCCTTCATTTTTCCTGTAAAGTCAGTAGTGATGTCTCCTCTTTCATTCCTGGTTTTAGTAATTTGAGTCTTCTCTGTTTGTTTCTTGTTCTACAGTCTAGCTGAAGGTTCTTCATACTTCTGGAATCTTCACAAGAAAAAAGGAAAAGGTTTTCAATGTTGGTCTTTTCACAGAACTAACTTTTGGTTTCATTTATTTTCTCTATGATTTTTCTCTATCGAGTTTGTTTCTGCTCTCATCTTTTAGTATTTCCTTCCATTTGCTTTAGGTTTCTTTGTTGTTTTTTTCTGAGACAGTCCTGCTCTGTCACCCAGGCTGGAGTGCACTGGCACAGTCTCGGCTCACTGCAACCTCTGCCTTCCAGGTTCACACGATTCTCTTGCCTCAGCCTCCTGAGTAGCTGGGATTATAGGCGCACACCACCACGCCCGGCTAATTTTTTTGTACTTTTAGTAGAGACGGGGTTTCGCCATGTTAGGCTGGTCTCAAACTCCTGACCTCAGGTGATCCACCCGCCTCCGCCTCCCAAAATGCTGGGATTACAGGTGTGAGCCACCGCACCCGGCCCCACTTGCTTTAGGTTTAGTTGACTCCTTTTGTCCAGGATCTTAAGACGAAAGGTCAGGTCACTGATTTGAGATTTTTCATCTCGGACAGGATCTCGCTCTCTGAAGTGGGAAGAGGTACTGGGGCAGGTGGGAATGTGATTTCAGGAGCGGAGGCCTGTGGCTGGTGGAAGGCGACCAGCGGAGGAAATAGAATGGCTGTAAACCGTAGAGGAGGAGGGGGGAAGGCAGATGAGGGGTCACACGCGTCATGACATGAGCAGGAAGTCAATACGATGTCTAAAGAGGATACACTAAAGAGTTAGGATAAGCCCGTTGTCTAATAACAGTTTAAAGTGGTTGCCAGGGAGGAGAGCTCAGAGAAGGAAGTCTGTGGCTTTCATCGTCAGGCTTGATAGGCTTGATGTTCTTTTGAGCCTTTTTTTTTTTTGGAGATGGAGTCTCGCTCTGTCGCCCAGGCTGGAGTGCAGTGGCGTGATCTCGGCTCACTGCAAGCTCCGCCTCCCAGGTTCACGCCATTCTCCTGCCTCAGCCTCCCGAGTAGCTGGGACTACAGGCACCCGCCACCTCGCCCGGCTAATTTTTTTGTATTTTTTAGTAGAGACAGGGTTTCACCATGTTAGCCAGGATGGTCTCGATCTCCTGAGATCCACCTGCCTCGGCCTCCGAAAGTGCTGGGATTACAGGCGTGAGCCACCGTGCCCGGCCTGTTGAGCCTTTTTTAACCATAATTGCTTTGATAAATGTTAAACATTTTTGGTTATCTGTGGTCCTGGTTGTTGTAGGTTGCTATGTCTATGTCATAACTGCAATTATTTGCTATAATTAAGTGAGACAAGATGATATCCATTTACTGTCTTTGTAAACTTGTGTCAGTGGAAATCATCACAGAATAATTGACAGTTTCTGCCAATTCTCTCTGGAATATACACAGAGAGATGAAAACCATGAACCCCTAAGTCCCCATCACACAAGTGAATAAGATTCTGGTTTTGTTGCCTCTCTGTGTTGTGTTGTTGGGTTTACAAGAGCATTTTAAGTCCTCACGTCAGTCACGGACACTTCCCTGTGCTCTCTGATGAGGACGTCTGTGGTCACCTCCCCACAGGCACTGTCACACCTGACAAGGTGCACAGCGTTCCTCTCGCATCACAGAATGGGCAGCCTGCGTCCAGATGGCTCTGGTTGACTGAAAAACATCTTTTTACCATTGATTTGTCCCCGTCGACTTTGAACAGATTGTGATTATATGAAAGTCTCCTTTTTTCTACCGTTTCATAACCTTAGGTTTGTTCTCTTCCCAGGCCATGAGTGCGGCTGTGTGCTTTATGATCGACGGTGGGTACGCGCCTTCGTCTCATTTCAGCCTAAGCTTTTTGTACTTTGCTGCATCCTGTTCTTATATGTTTTGGGGGTTTCAGTTGTTCGGGGGTTTTTTGTTTGAGACGGGGTTTCACTCTTGGAGCGCAGTGGCACGATCGTAGCTCACTGTAGCCTCGACCTCCTGCGTTTAAGTGATCTTCCCATCTGGGCCTCCCGGGTCGCTGGGACCTGCCAGCCCACACGGCCGCATCCAGCTAATGTTGTTGTTGTTGTTGTTTAGACAGGGTGTCGCTGTGTTGGCCAGGCTAGTGTCAAACTCTTGGACTCAAGTGATCCCCCCACCTTAGCCTCCCAAAGTGCTGGGATTTCAGGTGGGAACCCCCACACCCAGCCCATTAAATGATAAATGTGTTGTCGTCAGCAATGTAGAGGCACAGAGAGGAGCCTGTTCCCCATCTGGGACCCCCCCTGGCTCCTGAACTAGCCATTGCTCGTATTTTTTAAGTCCTAGTCGTCCCACTTGTCAGCAGAATGTGGGCATCTTTCTGTGCCCCGCCGACCGCGAGCTGGAGACAGCGGTGGCACCTCTCCCGGGGGGCTCTGAGGATGGAATGAGGTCGTGTGTGTGAAGCACCAAACAGCACCTGGCCCGTGAGTGCTGTGGAATGTTTGTTAAATACACACACGACCTTCTGAGGCGTTTCTGGGGTCGGCAGCCGTTTACCACCCCACAGGGTGCACCTCAGTCACCTTTCCACAGTGAGAGGTCTTTGCCTTTTTCCATCTCAAACGTAAGCAGTTTTCCATCTTCTGCTTCTCTTGTATTTGAGGAGCAGGAGGGGCCTGAGCGTTTCATCGTTTGCTTTCCCAGATCAGTGACGTTTCGTTTGAATACAGTTGTTCAGCATCGGACAGTCACATGAATCTTACCGGTTTGTTTTGTCATGACTTGCCAGCCTCTATCCAGCCAACGCTGGATTTTTGCCGAAGACTGGACAGTGTCGTCGGGCCCCAGCTCACGGTGCTGGCCTCTGACATCTGCGAGCAGTTTAACATCAACAAGAGGATGTCTGGGTTTGTACTTGGCTTTCTATTCACGTTCACGCATTGAGCAGCTTTTAAAACACGTGTAGTTTTACTTACAGATGTGGGTGGTGGTAACAGTCCTGTGCTCTCGTGGAATCTAGAGAACGGTGATGCGTGCCATTCAGGCCTGTCGGAAAGGGAGCTGGGGAAGCCTACCTGAGTTTTTCTGCCCCGTGATGGCAGCTGGGGCTGGGTCTTCTGTTAAATACCTTCCCTCAGCTCCCTGCTGATTGGAACATCCCATTTCACTGGCCCAGATGGTTACGTTCACATGGGCAGTAGTCAGCATGGTTTTGGTGTGTGCAGACTGAAAGCATTTTGCCTCTCGTTGTGTGAAAATGTGTAGGGGAAACTGGCTGGGATGTGGGGCATTGGGCCTGGGTACTCAATGTGGCAGCCTGAAGGGTCTACACTGAGTGAGAGAAGCGGGATTCGCTCCTC